TTTGTCACATTTATCCAAAGAAACCTAATTCACCGAAAGCATAACTAAGGCTAAAAAAGAAAGTAAACTATACATTTGTATGCTTTAGATGGTTTTCCAGTTTTTGTGTATTTGAATTTGTATAACGTAATTAGAAAACGTAGATTAGCTGAGAAATGTGATGTATTTTCGTAATGCATTTGGAACAATCTGATCAAAAATTTACTAGTTAAGATATTATATGTAAAAAGTGGGAGTGAAGGAAGGAAGGAATTCAATAATAAGAAAGATAATGAAAGGAAAAATGACAAGAATTCAAGACAACCTTGGACAGGTCAGTATTAAATTTTCAATAGCTTTTCTTCAGCCCAATACAAGTGACGTTTTATAATATGCCTATTCAAAAGGACATAACGTATTTGTACGGAAGACTAACTGAAACATTAGTGGAAAATGGAAATTCAATGAAATTCATAAAGTGTTGTAAAAACCAGACAGTGTTTAAACTTAGTCTGTTGTACTTTGTTTCTAAGACATGTGTTTATATCACATTACCACATAGAGGAGAGTCTAGCCGCGTCTTATTAAAACTAGGTTTGTGGTCTGCTGTTAGCAAAAACTACTATTCAGCTAAGCTTGTCGTAGCTGAGAAGACCACATAATCTTCGGCTCTATATAACTGATTGTGCGACATCCCACTGCGTTTGTAAATTTAAAAATATATGTATGGACATACATACAGAGAAAGGATTAATTGGAATATGCATCTAAGGGTAGGGAAACATGTACCAAAATCTCTACAAAAGTAGCTGTTTTCACAAACAACGATAAGCGCATGTACCAGAATACCATCATCATTCATTTCAGAACATACCATTGATATGTAAATGTATGATCAGATATTTCGAAATGTATAACGGAAACGCATCACACTTTTTTGTATTTGTAAAATTTTATATATGTTTGGAATTCCTTATTCAGCAGCATTGTTGGAAATCCACATCATAGCCGTTTTTATAAGAAATCAAAGCATCTAGCTGATTTCTATGTAAACCTTTACGTGCAGTAACGTGATTAGTAAAACAATATTTGTATTATTGGATGAAGTTTGAAAAAAATCTTGGTGTAAATATTACTTAAATATAACTAAACTGATATCTGTTTATCACCTGTTGCTGCATACTTTTCTTCAGTAACAGTAGTTGTAGTAGCAGTAGTAGCGTGAGTAAGAGAAGTGTAGTGGATACTACTTAATAACAAGACACAAGTAGTATATGTTAAGACATCGGGAGAAGTCATAGGCAATTACGAGCGGTAGATAAATGTGCTGCCAAGAGAGACCCTCAAAATGATGTAACTGTATCGACAGGAAGACAAGATATATGATGAACTTAAACATACTGTGCAAATTGATATTTCAATGAAAAGTTATAAAATTTTACCAGTAATGTACACATTTTCATAATAGATAATTTTTCTGTGGTTCACCATTTGCCCTCTCTTCAGTAGTAGTGTTATTAGTATTATTCACCGACTTGGAAAACGCCTTCAACGGCTTTAACCGAGAAGTAATTTAGAAACTGCTTCAACACTACGGAATGCAACAAAACTTCATCAATCTCATTCAGCAAATATATGAACACGCCATATGCAAAGTAATTCACAATGTGAAGCTCAGTGATGCCCCTAAAGTGAGCGAAGACAGGAAGGAGTAATACAAGACCGTTTACCATCACTCATGATATTCCTGATTGTGATCAACTCGACTGGATCATGCAGCAAACAGTGAAGAGCGAGAAGAGTGGATACGCTGGACCGTAGAAAAGAACCTAGAAGATTTCAATTTCACCGATGACTTGTGTCTCATGTCTTGTGGCACAGACTCAAAGATCTACACGTGAAAACTAACAAGTTGACAGAAGAGTTAGAGCAGCGAAGATGGGAATTCAAGTGAATGTAATGTGAAGACAGAGGTGATGAAGATACCCAACCAACACCACCAACAACATGCTCAAATCATCATCAATGGGAGAAACTTAAAGGAAGTAGCCTCTTTCACCTGCATACCTAAGCAGGCAGCACTGTTTCAAATGCAGGTGGCACAGGCACAGGCGACGTCAAAACCAGTCAGGATCGGAAAGACAACAAAACAGGTGTTGACTAACCCGAAACCAGTGTGTAGATCTTCTGCACTCAGCACAAAGTGTGAACAGCAACCGAATTTTCAACACCAATTCAGTCAAGTCAAGCCTGAAACCAGTGTGGAGATCTTCTGCACTCAGCATAAAGCGTGAACAACATCCGGATTTTCAACACCAACGTCAAGTCAGTGCTTCTGTATGGCTCAGAGACTTGGCGCGTTACGAAAGGGATTTCCAATAAACTGCAGACATTCATCAACAACTGCTTACACTGGCTCGTTACTGAAGATGAGATGAATTGCCAGAAAGACTAAGCAACAAGGAACTCTGGGAACGAACCAACCAAGAACCTATCACCCAACAAATATGCAGTGGAGTGAAGTGGAGATGGATTGGCCATGCACTGAGAAGGCCGACTGAGGACATCACGCGTCAGGCCAGTCACTCGAGTGGAATCCCCATGGGAAGCGACGAGTCGGAAATCGGAGGCTAGGGTGACATGGAGGAGATCGTGTGAGGAAGAAATGAGAGCTTGTGGGCTTTCGTGGAGCCAGGTTCGAAAGATCTCAGAGAACAGAGGTCACTGGAGACGTGCTACTGAAGCCGTATGTTCCACTAGGAACCCAAGGGACTAATAATAATAATAATTCAGTCTAGTCAGTGCTTCTGTGTGATAGTTGAGAGACTTGGCGCGTTATGAAAGGTATTTCCAACAAATTACAGATATTCATGAACAACTGCCTACGCTCACTCGATACTGAAGCTCAGATGGCCAGAACAATGAGAATAAGCAACCAGGAACTCTAACTGGCTGTCAACGAACCAACGAAGCAAGAACCTATCACTCAACAAATATGCACCGTAAGGAAGTGGAGGTGGATTGGTATACACTGAGAAGGCCGATTAGGGACATCATGAGCCAGGCCAGTTGCTGGAGTGGAATGCAAAGGGGAAAGGACGAGTTGAGAGCCCTAGTTGAGGGTGAGATGGCGGAGATGGGGTGTGAGGAAGAAGTGAAAGCTTGTGGGTAGTCCTTTAACCATGTTGAAATGACTGCAGAGAAGAGAGTGGAATGGCGACGTGCTAGTGAAGGCGTGTGTTACATTAGGAACCTAAGGGACAAGTATTATAATAATAGTAATAATAATAATAATAAGTAGTAGTGTGAGTAGTAGTAGTGGTGGTGGTAGTAGTAATAGTAGTAGTAGTAGTAGTAGTAGTAGTAGTAGTAGTAGTAGTAGTAGTAGTAGAAGTGGAAGTAAATGAAAGTCTCACCAAGCTTTTTCACGTAATGAGTGATTTGATTTCATGTTTATGCGGTAAATACAGACTCAGTTATGAAACCTGCTGTCCACATTTTAGTTTCATAATGTCTAAGATACCTTTTTTGCTTGCTAATTAATAGTATGATTATGTGTGCGTGCATACAGGGTATGAGAATCCAGATTATGTATTATTCTATTTAAAGTTTAGTTACTGTCTGTACTGAAAAGCATAATCATCCCTGTCGACATTAGAAAACTAGTAGCAGTGATTAAATAAAGCTCAAGTGGAAATGTCTGAGACAATTCTGCACATTATATCATGCTGAAATGTTGTCATGTAGGGATAAACATTTCAAGCTGTGAACCGTATCGGATCTTTCTCGATAACAGTCGCAAACAACTCAATAAAAACGTCCCTGACTGCAACAATAAGCAATTTATGTTCTGACGACAGATGGGATAGCAGTTTCTTCTAGGTTGCAGGTAATACTTCTGACTGGCAAGCGTCAAAAAGCCAAAAAACCTTGGTCCCCAGTCAATTGCTTCAATCCAACTATCATCCATCTTAGCACATCACGATGGTGAGTTTTCTAGTCTGTTAAAATGCTCGATAGAATTTTATCACTACATAAGAACTAAACAACATGAAATTTGTTACTGTCTGCTAACCAACCAATCTATTCACCTCTTCTTTCATTGTGGCTGACTGTAGTAAGCTGAATATTGAAACTGAAAATTGACCACTAGAAAGGTTTAATGTCCCAAATGAGGGATTACTCTCTTTTATAACACAAATAAGTATTAAGTAGGCCTCAACAATGCGATAACTTTTTTCTTCGGATCAAAATTACAGTGTTACTAATAAGATACAAAAATTCTATGAAAATAAAGTTGACAAGGGATTTCAAGTGAGTGTTTATGCTGATCACCGGCAAAATCAAAGATAACAATATAAACTACTACGTCATAAAAGTAACTAGTCAATGGAAGGATTCAAGGTATTGGAAGGATTATTGAATTAGCTAACAATGTCCTGAATGAAATCGGGTAAGCTTACATACTCAATTTACTTGTGCCAGACTGATTTCTTCAAATGTACACATCGAAACCCTTGCAGACACTACTATTTTTAGTCAAAAAGTATCGGTAATAATTTTTCTAGTCTAATATGTTGCTGTACAGCGACACTTAATATTCAATGGATGTAGACTCTTATCGCTAGAAGGCATAGTTGTAAAGAAAAACTGGTTAACCCATTTGAATTTTGGAAAAGCTAGGTTAGAAAGGCAGTGTATTCATTGGCAAAGATCTCTTTAAAAAAAAACCCTGTTTTAAAGCGAAATAACTATCATTTTATGTAAGACATGTTGTCTAGAAATATAGCGTTACTATGAATTTGTAGATTGTAGATTTCTTTGAACAATATTTTACATTCAGAACTTTGCTGATTTCGCAATATAAATACGCAGAACCTGAGAAGAAATAAAGTTTAGACAATAGGTAGTAACTAAAGCGTTTAGATTTCTATATATGGGACTAAGATTTCATCACTTTATTTATGCTAATCGTTTACAGTTTTATGATGGGGGGTTGATATGAGTGCTGAATAACTTACCTGCAAAAATGAATCCGTGGACCACTTGAGGTTATCAATAATAACAGTAGGAGTAATAATAAATTTCCAACGATATACACCAGAAGTCATAACATTCCTTGATAACTGAGTTCATTTACTTGGTAAGAACATGTATCAATGAAGTAGCAATAATAAAATAAATTTTTTTCAAATAAAAATTATGATTGGTCATTTAGTAAAAGAGAACCAATTTTTTGTCAGCCAATCAAATTACTTCATGTTATCTAAAGTAACATGATAATTTTTCATAATATTTTTCTGTTCATGCATTAATTATTACACATCATAATTTTCACACACACAAATACACACCTACAAACATATATAAACAAACAGAATTGTCTGAAGAGTGGCCAAACCTGATGGAGGCACAAAGCAGTACTGTGGACACAGTAACGTAAACGATTTAAAAAGAAAATGCACACACTGTTAGCAAAATCCCAGTACTTTATTGAAGGGTATAGAGTAGTATAGAGTTGATTTTTGGGTGAATTAAAATAACCGACAACTAAGATTACTCATAAAAACAATGAAACTGTTTCTGAACAAGTTTAAACTTTCACTGTCATCAAAAAACGAGACACATGTCCACCTTCATCTGCAAAAGGACTACGATGAGATTGTAGAGGGGTAACACAAAGGTAGTATTTTTAAGACTGATCAGTCTTTCAAGTTGTCATTCATCGTAGACTGACATCAGTCAGAGGAACAAAGAAAACCTGGGAGCACTAGACAGATGTTCAGTCCGACTAGTATGGGATTCCCCAGCAGTGCGCACCCACGACCCCACATCATCAGGGATCCAACTCGCGACCTTGAAGCTGAGTGGCCAACACGCTACCATTGAGCTAGCCACTGAGTCGGAATCCAGTGGTCCATATTTCCAACTTCTGTCAATTCACGACATAGCGCAACCACCACCCAATATCATTGTTGAGTAACTGTCCTCACGACCACCAGGCTTTGCCCTAACTGGTCACGACTTCTCATTGGAACTTCGGGAATACCTGTCGAAGCTAGTCACTAATCAGCACCAGTTCAATTGAATTTTGAGGGGAGTTGTCTATTAACAGTGAACAAAACATATGAGTCAACAATGATGTTTTCAAGAAAATCTGTTGAGACTTTTCACTTATGAATTTCATGTCATGCTTATTATTAAGTAGGCTTACAAATGTTTTGCTAAGCCCATACCTTCGTGGTTAGGGCAATGAAAAAAGACTTGTCAACACAAAGTTTAATTTTGTCACATTTTGTGAATGGTAGTCACGTCTTAAATAAAGCTGTATCTTATAAAAAAAAAAGGAATTTTGGGTGGAATTCGCATTCATACAGACAGTTAAAGTTAGCCTAGAACCTTGCACATACTTGAATTGGCTCAGTTGGTCACACTTCATAGTCGTATAAAAAGAACAAGTGGATAGAAAAAGTGTGATATCAAAATGGAAAAAGTTGTGTGAGAGAATAAACAATTTTAAGATAACGTTTAATACAAAAACAGACGTCTATGAGTGGTGAATATATCTGAGCTACTTTGACACCAAGAGACCTCAACCACGGATTACTTTCGTCTCACGGACCCCAACCAATCAGTCTGGCTCTATCAGCATGACTTTATCAACTGGTGCCAGGTCTTGGTCTGGTCACCTCGAACTCTGTTCCAAATTCCCCTAGCATGATACATTGACGTAACTTGCATAAAGTTGGTGATATGAGAATATGAGGAGCCAATCCGAATCTCTGTGTGTAAAAAACGTTTATACAACTCTTTTCCTTGTTTAAGTGAGAGAATATCTAATAGACGATTTTGAAGATAATACTTCGCTTATAATCCCCTTTATTCTTCCTTACTACTTTCATATGTGTAATATTTGTTTTGGAACCTCGCCTGGCTAACTTGTTCACTAGTTACTATCCGGTCCTAAGCACGAGTAGAGAGAGAAGGTTGGGTGTAGGACTAGCAACCTACCCCGGAAAACCAATACAACCGCTACAGAAACTACAAAGCACATACAAAATATCAAAAATAAAAACAAACTTATTCCTCGATGGAATCGGAGAGGCGAAATGACGCCGGCTGGTGAAAGCATTCGGGAAGCCAATTGGACAATGTGTCTACACTTCTCTCGATGAAACCGAAAGTAAGGATATGGACATAGATTGTCCGCACCATGTTTGAACCTAGCTGGCAAGGCAGCCCAGATTCCAAAAGAGACGAGAAGAAATCGCATTGAAGTGCTAGGAATTGACGAAAGCAGGTAGAATGGATATGAACTCTTCAAACTGTCAACTGGAGAGTCAATAATCTACTCCGATATTGTCACCCAGACGACAACCTCGAATACACTCAGTTTTGAAGTGGCTATCATGATGTCCCCTTTTAGAGCATCAAAGGCTTTCATACAGTGGGAACCAATCTCCTCCTGCAGGATCACGATCATGACAGCAAGGTTCAACTCAAAAGGGAGGAAAGTCACAATCATTCAACGCTACGCACCTACAAATAATGCAACGCAAGAGAAGGAGGAGGAATTCTACAGACAACTTCAATCAGCACTAGACAAGACCTCAGTTGGTGACATCAAAATTCTAATGGGTGGGTTGACACTAATGCCAGACTGGGAGCGGACAACACAGGAAGAGAACTAACCATGGGTAGAGAAGCGCTAGGTGAAATAAACGAGAATGGAGAATTGTTTGCAGAATTCTGTGCATTCAACAATTTGGTGACTGGAAGCACTGTGTTCAAGCACAAGGACTTGGTGCGTTACGAAACGCATTTCCAACAAACTACACACATTCATCAACAGCTGCTGCCTGCGCTCGCTTGATATTAAAGATCACATCAGACGGCCAGAGAGAACAAGTAACAAGGAACTCTAAATGGCTGTCAACGAACCAACGAACCAAGAACCTATCACCCAACAAATATGCAGTGGAAGGAAGTGGAGATGAATTGTATTGGGCATACACTGAGAAGGCCGACTGGGGACATCACTCACTAGGCACTCGAGTGGAATCCAGATGGGGAACGACGAGTTGGGCGTCGGAGGTGATGGTGAGATGGAGGAGATGGTGTGTGAGGAAGAAATGAGAGCTTGTGGGCAGTTGTGGAACCCGGTTGGAAGGTTTGCGGAGAAGAGAGTGGAATGGCGACGTGCTACTGAATCCCTATGTTCCACTAGGAATCCAAGGGATAAATAATAAGTATAATATAAGATATTCAGATATACTGATGATTATTTCTCCTAAAATTACTGTGCTTAGAGCAAATATGGTTAGATATTATATACTAGGAATTTTTTGTTGTATCGAACATAATTTTTGAAATGAAAGGATTGTTTTTTAGCATTGAAAAGGATTAGTAAAAGAAACTTATGATTTGATCATTAGTTTTTTTACTGTACATACTCAGACGATAATAAACAGGCAACTTAATATAAATGATCAAACTCAGTAGAATTTATCGCTAATAGGAGTTGTAGGGACCAATATCATCCCTGAGCATACACGCGCACGGGCATAATCACTGGATAAGAAGCAATGTGCGCTCGTATTTTATCTTTACTATGTGATAGATTACTAAGTACAATATTCGCCAAATAGTCGAATCCTGAACGCCGATAAATTGTATCCACCATATTCGCAATTTGACCAACTGATATGGTTTTCATTCTAGTGAACATTCATGAGGAAGGCTTATATGTAACCTCGTGAACCCTATGCAATAAAATCGCTCAGTTGTGACATCTCTTACTGTAGTACTGCATTAAGTGTGTTCATGCCTCAAGCGGGACAACAGTTCCGTTGAGTTTGTAGATGCTCCTTGCCGAAGAGTGCCAACACACACAAAACCCAGTCATAGATCTTCCTGACGATTATCTCTATTCAACTAACAACTATCTCAGCGCATCGCAATCATGAATCATCTAGCTTGGTAACCACACTGCAAAATGATCGGTAGAATTCGATCAGTGTCTAAGAGTAGGCAACATGAAATCTGTTTGCTCTCACATAACCAATCAGTACATGTGCATTCTTCAATAATACGGTATGTAGGGTAAATGAAAAACTGCTATATGATTTTCTAGTTTGAATTTCCAAAAATGTTACGGCAAATTAACCTATATATTAGTTATGGACAGTGGAATTCAGGACGAGCATTTAGTTCTATCTGTGACCCATCAGGTGGATGTGCCTGACTCCCAGTGAGTGACATTGGGCATTTGAACTTGGGAGCGACCGCTTCAAATGTTATCCACTAGACCATAGAGTCCCAATAGCCATTTCTTGTGTGATGAGTGTAGTTTTATTGTTGCTGGATGCATTATACCTTTGTTGAGTGAACCGAAGTGATCGGTCTCTATTGGCATGTGGGGTACTGTGTAGATGCCTTGATAGTGTCTGTGTTTAGACTATATACAAGCAACAAAATTCAAACTAAACCCGTTGAACTAGAACCGGGTATCATGACTCAGTTTGAATCAATGTTACGTTATATGGAAATAAAACTTTTCGGTACAAAAAGTGCATCATATTTCTATCCGTCAGATGCTTAGCTTGATTTGCAGATTTTTCTACCGCTTGAATGGACAGCCACCACTAAAATTACGCTTGCATTTCCGTTAATTCTTCATTATCGACCGGATGCCTATCCAGAACCAGCTGGCTATTTCACATCATTTCCTTGAATACTATTATTATTAACATCATTACGATGTAATAAAGGTTGTATTGTTCTTGTAATGAATTCGTCGGAAACTTATATGCTGAGAATTTCATACCATCATACATACTATTGATAGTGGTTAGCAGTGGAATCGAGGATGTTCATTTTGTCATGTTTAGGACTCGTCAGCTGGATGTAACTGCCTCCAAGTGAGTGATGTTGTTCCCAGCGGACTCGGGAGCGATAGCTTGAAATGCGAGAGCGTTATCCACTACACCACCGAGCAACGATAGCCGATTCTTGTGCGACGGGTGCAGTTTTAGTATTATGGCTTGTATTATAACGTCGTTGACTGGACTGAATTGATCGGTCTCCATTGGCATATGAGCTCTTGAGTGGATGGTCCGAAATTACTTGTGTTTTCAAT